ACAGAGCATACTCAGACAGAACCTTGGCTCTGATACCACTTGTTGGGAATAAATCCCGTAAAAATAATATTCACGGTATTAATGATAAACGCGGAACACTAAGTTATGGTTAAATCAGCAAAAATAGAAATGGAGCAATAATGACACCAAGATTTTACGTGGAAACCCTTCTGAATAAGGGAAAAAACCACGGCCAAGAAGAGCAACTGATATTACTATAGCGAGGAATTTTACACTATGTAGTAACGAGTACAAATACTCCTAAGACCACTACACCCTCAAAAGAAAAAACACTCTTTTGCTTTTTTTTCACCTCACTACAATATCTCTCACACTCTATTTTTCTTCACAGACTATTTTCTTATAGTCTATGGAATACTTTGCTCTATCTCACTCAGATGTATTGTCTGAGATTTTGGTGTATCTACAAATGAAAGTAGAGGCACCTATTTATAGTTGCAGAATGCCCATATTGATGTCTGCAATGACATCAATGTTACTGTAAAATTCAGTCGCACAAATCTTTTCTAAATTGGTTGGGTTGACAAAAAGAAGAAAGAAAAAGCTTTCTTCTTACATATATGGGGTTGGACCCCACATCAACGCCAAGAAGCTTATATAATTTTTAGCAATATCTGAGGACAAAAATACTAACTTGCTTGGAATTAAGGCGTAGTTATAATTGTTATTGTTATTATATTCTGAGGACAACGATAAGAATTTGGACCGCTAGTTGGTTGCTTGTCCCTAGGGGTGGCAAAATGGTTCAAAGAAAACAGTTAAGAATCATGTTATCCACTAAAAAATTGGTTGGATAATGAACTTTTTAAAAACTGGTCTAATATGGATAAGAATCATATTATCCATTTAGAAAATGCATAACCAATGTGTCTAACTTTTACATTTGTAAAGCTTCAAATTGGGGGTTACTCAAGTTTTTGGAGACTAAGAATTCTCCCAAAAGTGATCATATGCAAGAAGTCATGGATAATTTGGTTACCCATATTATCCGCTGGTTAATCCATTTTTATCCGTATTAAATATGGGTCGGGTGGGATAATTTATTCATTTTTTCATTACTCGTTTTCGACTCGAACTATATCCAACCCGCCCGTTTGCCACTCCGGCTTGAATAGTATGATGTACCACTGACAAATTGTTGTTGTCCTTTTAAAACCCTTGATACTATAATAACGTAGAGAATATTGCCTCTACCTCAATTGTGTTAATCGCCTTATGAGGACTAGAAAATTGGCTAGAAAGGGGCATCGCACGTGGATTTGTTAAAAATCTACCATATTTATTTACCAAATTCATTTTGTTAAGTTGCATTAAGCACATTAGGAGTATTCAACGTTCCAGTTATATCAAATTAACAAAGCTTAGCAGTAAGAGTATAATATCAATCAATTGCAAAAGTTATTGAAACAGAAAAAGAACAAGAGAGGGACAAGGAGGAACCAAGAGGACTAGAACATTTTGAGCACAAGAAGTTTCTTGGCTTGACAGTAAAAAAAGAGCAGTAATTTTATTATGGGCAGAAGTTTCCCTTTATTTTGACTTTCTTCTTAACGAAAATTTATATCCAATAGCCCGTCAAAGCTTATAAAAATTTGTTCCTGCAAAATTTGGGAAACTTTTACCAATAATGTAATCTTCTTTTTTCTTATAAATAGATGGTAAAGTTTTTACCCATAACATAATCTTATTACACTCCGTCTATCATGCTTGGAGAGGAAGAAATATATCTCACGCCAAATATATATGGGAAATTCTTTTCAAATTAAGAGTCCGTTTGGACATAAGAAAGTTTTCTTTTTTTTCCGAAATCAACGTTTGTTCATAACATTTTCAATTTTCACTTGAAAATGCATTTTGGAAATTTTTGAAAATTTGAAAAACTCCAAAAAGTTATTTTTTAAAATTTTCACTCAAAACACTCACAAAACTTCAAAAACAACCCAAAATTATATTCATGTCCAAACACAACTCTAAATTTCAAACATCATTTTCACTTTAAAAAAAAATTTCACTTTTTTTTGAAATTTTACAATTCTTATGTCCAAACGCACACTAAGTTCACAACTTTTAATAGGAGTACTACTTTTTAACTTAGGCTCGTTTGGTTTGATGACAAGTTATCCTAGAACTTTTTTAATGATAATTTATTTTCGAATTATTAATCAAACAAGGGATTAGTTTTAAATTTTCATCTCAAGATTAGTTTTGCCATCGTACCAAACGACTTCAAGGGTTTTTTTTTATTTTTTTACCGCCGGTCTCCAAGCCTCCACCTTCGAGAGCTGCGCCACCGCGGTCAGCCACTTGCGCTGTCTCTCGCGTCCCCAGATCTTTGTGTCGCTCTTTTTCCTGACTTAGGTTGTTCTGCCCTGTTTCGTTATTTTTGGAATAATAAATTAATCATGTTGGGCGCCATGCACAATGAAAAGGACAGTAACAAGGTTCCAACGTCTGTTGCGACGCATACGAGAACCATTGGCATTATTTATCCGCCTCACAATCATAACTTGACGGATATACTGCGAAATAGTGCTGTTGACATGACTACAGTCCTGGACCGATGTTTGCATCGGTTGGAACGGGAACAGGCTAGGAAGAAAGCTGAAGATGATATAGAAATGGAGAGGTTGCAGATGGCTGTGATTGATTGGCATGATTTTGTTGTTGTTGAGACTATAGATTTTGCTGATAATGATGTGGATCAGGATTTACCTGCACCTATGACCCTTGAGGAGGTTACAAGGAGCAAGATGCTGCCCACATTGGAGCGCGAAGAGTATGTTGATGAGGTGGAAATGGAGATGGATGATGAAGAGTTGCAGCTTGTCGAAGAAGGTATAAGAGACGCGAATGTTGAAGAGCATGCTAATGTCAAAGAGTGTGGCTATTCAAGAGGAAGGGGACCCACCAATGCAGATTGTGAAGAACTGGAAGAGGCCTGAAGAGAGGATCCAGGCAGAAAGGGACTCAACCAAATGTGTTGTCTGTCCTATAACTGGTGAGTTAATACCTATTAATGAGATGTCTGAACATATGAGGATTTCTCTCATTGATCCCAAGTACAAGGAACAGAAGGAGAGAATGTTTGCTAAGATTAGGGAGACAACTCTTGCTCAGGATGATGAGATTTCTAGGAACATTGTTGGACTTGCACAAACACGTCCTGATATATTTGGTACCACAGAGGAAGAAGGAAGTTTCAAATGCAATCAAGTCAGAGATTGAGAAAAAGAAGGAAGAGCCGAAGCAGCTGAATATTCCTTGGCCTCCTCCTAATACAATCAAGTATTACACTCCCAATAGTGTTGGAGTCGTTGCTCCGCCTCCACCTCCACCTCCTATGGTCAACATGATTCCTCAGGTCCAGCCCCCAACTCCTCCAATGCCACAGATGCCTGGGCAGCAAAATCTCATGGTGAATCATCCACCAATGGGTATGAATTCACATAATCTTCCTGTTCCGCCACCTCCTGGATTACAGTTTATGCCGTTGGGAGCACCTCGACCTTTTGTTCCCCTCACAATGTCCCAGCTCGGAATGCCTATGGTCCCACCTCCTATATCCCAAGGAATGCCGCCGCCACCTCCAGCAGAGGAAGCCCCTCCTCTTCCTGAAGAGACAGAGCCGAAGAGGCAAAAGCTTGATGAGTCTGTTCTCATTCCTGAAGAGCAGTTTTTGGCTCAGAACTCGGGACCTGCAAAGATCAATGTATCTGTGCCAAATACAGAGGAAGGTAATCTCAAAGGACAAGTTCTGGAAATCACAGTGCAATCTCTGTCCGAAACCATTGGCAGTCTAAAAGAGAAGATCTCTAGGGAGATCCAGCTTCCTGCAAACAAAGAGAAGCTGAGTGGAAAAGCAAGTTTTCTCAAGGACAACTTGTCTCTTGCATACTATAATGTTGCATCTGCGGAAACACTCACTCTCTCTCTCTCTGAGCGAAAGGGGTGGCAGAAAGAGATGAATGGAGTCATTTGGCATGGCCTTCAGAGGTTTTTCTTTGGAACTGTCAGCATTATCTAATCCCTGTTGTTAATTCAATGGATTCTCCGTACTTTTTCATGTGATTTTGGAGATCATATTGGTTTTACTTCTAGCATTTCTTTCTCGGTTCTCCAAATAAATCAACTTTATTCTTCAATAAATGCTAGTATATAAAAATGATTTAGAGCCACTGACAATTGATTCTACTCTTGCAAGATCGAGTGCTGCATTTGCAATTTTCTTAACTCATTTTTTGAGAGAAGAATGTTCTGAACTTTGAAAAGTACCAATTTCTTGTTAGTTTAATGTGTATGTAAAGTTCTAGTGGTCTGATCAATTGGAGAAGTTGCTTCAGGAATTAGTCCTTTAACCATTTAACGACCCTTGATGGTATAAGAATGTAATGCGTTTGCCACATTGACCTCAATTTTGTTAAGCGCCTTTTGACACTAAAAGGGGGTTAACCTTACTGATGTAGGAAAGAGAAGAAATGGACATCTTTGTTCATCTTCGTATTTTTCCAAGAGAAAGTTAAACATGTGGTGTCGATGTGAATATGCATGGTATAACACATTGCAATATCATTAATTTTCACCATCAAAGTAGAAATTCAAGAACGATAATGTACAAGTTGACAAGACTATCACTTTGGTCGCAGATTGCCTTATAATACACTGCACGACACTCTGACTTCTCCACGTTTTAGCCTACAACTAACAAGCTCCATCTAAAAAACTTCCCCATGATCTGCAACTTCATAATTTCACTCTCTTAAAAATATAAACATACAAAAAAGTCTTAATTCTTTTGATACCAGAGGATGGGATAAAGGTTCCCTTGGATTCAGAACAAAGGTTTAGTTATCCAAACAAATTTCCACTAAACTCTCTCCAACCTTGACCGACTAGCTCATCACCCTTGTTGGCCATACACTCTCTCTTGATCTACCAATGCTCTTCAGTCAATTTACATCCTGATGGCATAGGGAGGAGGTGCACTCTAATTGCAAGGAGTCACAGTCCCACTGAGAAATCTGCTTTTGCCTTGCCAAGCTGTGAAGCGGCTGATAACTATTCGTGATGAACCAGGCCTACTATACCCTGAAAAGGGAATATGAGTTAAATTCCATGCACCAATGATGACATACAATCTTCAGATCACGTTCAAATATCATCCGGTTGCAGCAAAATGTGGTCCTAAATAGTACTTGAATCGTCCAATGAACCCAATGTCTCAATAGCAACAAAAAAAAACACGGATAAAACAGAAATGCAGAGCACAAACACATGCTTAAGTCGAACTAGTGTTAGTTTCAATCCTGATTTGGCCATCAATGGCCTCATTATTACTACTCTTGACTCAGAAATTATCATGAAATATTGACAAGCTTGCTCATACACTCTCTCAGGTCTAACACACTTAACTGCAGCTGCTATTAAGGACCTGTTTATGCATATGACTAGCAGGATAGACTATTTTGCAAATATGATAAGATGTGCTTAACTCTCAAATATTTGACAAAACCCAATTTCCCTAACAAGTGTCTGACTTTGTTGTCTATCAAAGCAATTGCTGCTTTACTTATGCTCAACTTTTAAGCAAAGATTCTCACTGCCAATGACTCCTTGGACATCAATTTCCAAATATTCAGTCTTGTGTGACATTGGAAGAGTCCATGATCAAAACAAGCAAGAACATCCCATCTTAAACATCTATAAAAAAGTGGAAAACTTTTTCCCTCCAAACTTGAAATTACTTTCACATCATGCATTGAACATAAGAGCTATCGAGAACTCATTGATGAATATCAATGAGTCTTATAATCTGTGAGCTTTATACAATCTATAAGGTGTAATAGTAAATTTACAAAGAAAACTCAAATTAAATAGACAATTCATTCCTTCTACTGAACTTGCTTAATATACAAAGTTTTCTACATATAATAAGGCAATAAGACATCCGCAGAGTACTAACATCAAAATCATCTAATATATTAACAATCTTAATCCAAGGAAACCAACAACTAATTCCAACAGCAGATCAACAAAGAGCAGATGCATTGCTCAAAGGGTTGATGCTGTCAAGCCATCAACCCAAATGCAAAAAGTATACCTTCAATCAAGTTGACCAACTCTCTGAGTCGCGACCCTTCTCCTCCTCTCATAATCAGGATCATCAGTGGGCAACTCATGTCGACAAACTGGACAGGTATTCCTAATCCCAAGCCAAGGCACAATACAGTCGCCATGATACCTATGAGCACACGGTAACTGTCTAGCCCTTTCCCCCAAATTCATCTCATCCTTGCAGATTGCACAAGTAGCATCGTTCTTCTCTATATCATCTTTACTCAAAGCCACAGTCGGAAGGTTTCTAACAACAGTTTTAGAAGCTGGTGGTTTTCCAACTAAACCATTCTCGCCCTCTGCAAACTGTCCAAATAACAGCTCATATTCAGCAGTGTAATTGTAATCGTCTTGATCAATATGATGAGCTAAATCGAATTCCACATTTCCAATTTCAGGGTCAGGCTCCAAATTGTGAACATTCAACAGAAACTCCCACTCCAAATTATCCAACTCTCTGGCCCTATCCTCTAGGGCAGGAGCAGATTCGGATATTTCCTCATCATCTAAAAACATGCTAAGAATCTCTCTCTCATCAACTCTTCCATCAATTTCTTCCCACTCAAAGTCCTCATTATTCATATCCCTATGATCATCCTCCAATTGGAATGAGTCCCAACACAGCCTAAGGCTCGGTTCATCACTCTCGTTATCATGAATATTCTCCTCATCGTCATCACCATCACCTTCATCCAGATTGAAAAGTCTGCCCATAACGCAGTTCTCATCAGCATCCGAATCCGATCCAATATCCACAACCTGCAGCCCACTAACGAACTGCTCTGGGCCATCACAGTCTTCAACGTGGAACCCAGAATTATCGGTGTCCCCACAAAAACCTAACCCTAGCCCAAAATCTAGGTCTAAGCTACTCAAGCCCATAACATCATTCCCTTCAATCACACCGAAACTGGCCTCTAACTCCGGCTCCGAAATATGAAGCAAATCAGGGTCCGAAATCACTCGGTTCGAAGATTGGGCTTGTTCCACGCGTTGCTGGAACAGGTCCATGACGAAGTTTACTTGGTTCTCCCGGTCCAAAAAATCCATTGTGGTGATAACCGAATCGGGTTCCGAAACGTCGTCGCTTAATGGAAAATTCGTGCGCCGTTGACGGGTCAAAGAGATTTGAGCGCGGGGAGGGAAATCGGAGAGATCTGGAGCAGTGAAAACGTCGAAGCTTTCACCGAAATCGTGAACCCAGTAAGGCGAAGAGTCGAGGTCTTCAATAACGGCGTTTGGATGTCCGTTAACGTCGTCTTCACCTTCGTTGAGGAAATTGAGCAGCGAGATTGAGACCTGAGCCATTGCTGAAGCTGAGAAAATACGCTATTTTTAATGAAGGACTCCGTTTTTGGCTTTGGGTTTCCTTGTATTGATGGTTTTCTGGTAGGTGTGTGTGTGTGTGTGTGTGTGTGTGTGTGCAGTTGATTTTCTTGGCGTGTGAAATTATTAAAACATCAATATATATCTGTTTTTTTCCCCTTTTGTTTGGACCAGCTGTGTTTGAAATTTAAATTTAGTCCTTGGGGATCCTTTATTCTGGATTATTTAGCCCCTCGTCAAATTTTGGCGGAGAGTGATGTATACAATAATTATAGACTTTTAGTTTGAAATCTATGAGAAAAATAATATATCCACTTTATTTTATTCCCTTTTGTAATCCTTCTTCCTATTTTAAATTGAAATTTTTACACCCTATAGAAAATCTTAGTACCCTATTTATTTTAAATAAATATCATTTTAAAATATTACATCCTATAAATACATTTTATCCTTTATAGCAAAAAATCTAAATATAGTTACATCCTACAATTAAGGCACCATATATGCTAAATATTATTTCTCTCTCCTTTTTTGTATTTTCTCTCACATAATCACCGCGTATTTGCAAACCCCTATACAATCTCTCTCTGTTTGCATACAACCAGACTCTCTTCTCCCACAAACCCTAGTTTCTTAACTCTTCTCCCACCCAAATTCTCAATTTTCTGCTCCGCGTTACCAACGTTATCATCAGCCATTGTCTGAGTCGGAATATAAGCAACCACACTCGCGTACTTCACAAAAGATCCGGATTCGGGCTGAGCTACCAGCACAGCACGCGAGCACCGTTCGATTTGACCGGATCTCGTGTTGCGGCGGTCGTTTTTTCGCCCACCGGAAAGCCGTACACTTGCGGCAATGTTAGTTCTACAATTGAGAGGCACTTTTCAAGTTTTTCAGAGTCATCATCGTCTGGGCTGAATTCTCATCATTCTAATTCTAATGATGTTTCTGACAGTTCCTCGGGCCCAATTGGAGGAGTGTTCATGTCTGGGCTGACAAATCCAGCCTATTTGTATTCAGTTGTATTCGAATGTATTCTTCAGCTGTATTCACTTGTATTCAAGTTTAATCAGTTGTATTTAACTATTTTATTCAGCAGAAGTTAGTTGTATTCAAGTATTTTATACAACTGTATTCAGTTGTATTCAGTTGTAGTTAGTTATATTCAACTATTTTATTCAGCAGAAGTTAGTTGTATTTTTTTGCATTCAAGAGTTTATTCAGCTGTATTCAGTTATATTTTTGTTGTATTCAAGTATTTTATTAAGATGAATTAAGGTGTATTTTGTTGTATTCAACTGTATTATTCATATGTATTTCTCTTTATTCAGCTATAATCTTTATTATGTATCTTTCAAATACAGATTAATGAGGGATCGTTTTAGTTCGTTGAGTTAAATTAGGAGAATATCAAGTGATTATATTTCCTTCCGTTTTTAGCGCAAATACGTTACTGTATTTAATGTTAATGTCGCTTGAATACAGCTAAATACATGTCAAGCTTAGCTGGAATTCCAGATTTTACGCCTATGTTTTTGGTTGTATTAATGAATACAATAGCTTAAATACATGAAATACATTGTATAAAAACATAAAAGATATCTATAACAAGTAATATAACAAAGGATATCTATAAATGGCTAATTAGACCAAAAAGATGGTGCTTTATGAAAAATTCCCTTTTAAATTTAACGCAATGCACTATTATTCATCCTCTATATGATTTTTTTCACCAGTTTCACCTAATTTTCTAACATGAAGACACAAGTGATTTTTTCTTTCCTATACAATATTTGAAATTTATTTATTAAAATTATCTTAATTTTGTATATTATTCGCCCTAAACAAGGATTACTTATAAATTATATACAATACATTATTAGTGTCTTAAATTAGAGAATTTAGTTACATCTTTTTTCTATTTTCTCTCCATTCCTCTTTTAATAAGATTTCTTCCAGTTGTATATTACATATTTTAAGCCATAACAAACGAAATTTCAGTTACAAAAAAAAAAAAAAAAAAAAACGCTACAATATGACAACAGCTTTGAACGCAATTGTCACCAAAATTTATCCTTGTTTCCATCTCTATCATTGATCCACTCTGCTTTTACTGAATAGTTTTTTAATAATATTGTCAAACTACAGCACCAATCGCAATTGAATCAAAAAGCATAATTGAGCAGATTCGAAGTTTTAGCGGATTTCAAATTAAATTCAGTCGCCTCCAAACTTCGGATTCAACTTTGTATTAGTATTTCCATCATAATCTATGCTACCCAGTTAATTTCTCAAACAAAATTCAAATCTCACATAAAACTCAATTTCTCCGAAGTGCGGCGATGACGCTTTTAATGTGAAACTCGAAATTTCTCCACCCAAATCATTCAATTCCCATCAATATTCAAGTTTTTCCGTTCAAACAAATATGAATAAGTGCACATTAGTCGATTCAGAATTCATTCTCCACTTTTCTTTCTTTAATAAATTAACAAAGAAAAGAACAATGTATGGTACATCAACATACAAATTAAAAACAAATTTCGTACAAATTTAATACAAATTTGAATCTACAATAATATACATAGTAAAAACAAATTTCATACAACTAATTATATATAATGCAACTTATTCAGTTAAATATAACTACAACATCATACAACTTAAATATAATTTTCATACAAATTTTATACAATGTCTTTTGTATGTATTTTGTATATGAGTTGTATTTATTTTGTAAATGGTGTGTTCTTCTTCCTCTTTGAAATTCCAGTCAAAACCTCTTCTCTTAAAACAATTTTGATACATATCAACAACTTTATGTAAAAAGATAGTATTTATAACTTAAATACAAATTTCATACAACGATTCATACATTATATAACTATTTTTCAACTTTCATACAACACTCAAATAAAAATATATATAATTACAACATAATACAATGTAAATATAATTTCGTAAGTATATTGTATGTCATGTGTTCGTCTTCTTCTTTTTCGAGTTTCGATCTGAAATTCAACCAAAATCAAGTCTTTCACCAAACACCCTCAAAATTGAGATATAAACTCCAAAGAATATTTCCAATTATTTGCAACAACAACCAATCCAAACAAACAATAGTTTTTGAAAACTCAAATTCGAATTAAAAGCTTCGAAACTTTTTAATGGCTGTCAATGGTGGAGAATCAAATACCTTCAAATTTTATTGATTGATAATTTCAATTCGAACACCAATTGTGCAATATGAAAAAGAAATTGCTAAGTTAAAACTCTATATTGTAACAATTGAAATTCATTGATGAATTATCTGGGGGGTGGGGGGNAGAGAGACGGAGAGAGAGAGCGCAGGAATGGAGATTACCTATTCAATTCCTACTATAAATGGATACTCATTTAAAACTATTTTGTATATAATTATTAAATTGTATATATCCGTGTAATTAAGTTAAAACTTGGTCGGGAAAATTTCATATATAGTATAGGAAAGTAAAAATCCCAAGACGTAATATTGCAAAAGCCCAAAATCTCTCACAAAAGTCACGTTCGAATTCTTCGACTTCACTAATTCATCTAACTCCAGCCCACGAATAAAACAAGGAAGAGAATCACATTGACAGTGAATAACAGGCAATATGATGTATATAAATAATTACTTAAGCATAAAGATGCAAACTGAAAATTCATGTACTCTTCAACATCAATGGATGCCAGCAACCTAATGGTACAAGTAGATACTAATTTCCGCATTATTGCGGATTATCCAATTCAACTCTTGTCAACTGCTTCTACATTGTATTGCTTAAATAGATACAAGGGCTACCTAAAAACCTAATGTTATATGATCATATACAACTTTCTCTATTACAAGCAACTTTGGGATAACGTTCCAGCATTTTCAGTTACAAATGCATCATCTGTCAGTTTTCACCTTTTTCTTGAGGGAATCAAGGAAGGATGCACTTTGTTTGTTGTTAGATGATTTTGCAAACGGATTAGAGGGGCGTTGTGTTGTTACCTTATTCGCTTCTCCATTCTTATCTTCTCCATCTTCCAGTTTGTTTGCATTCTCTAATTTTCTTGCATCTTTCACTTCATCCGCCTTATCCTTTTCATCCTTCAATTTTTTAGAATTCTTCAAATCAAATGCATTTTTGAACTCCCTTGCCATTTCCAATTTTCTGGCTCTAGCATTTTCTGTATCCATATTTACATCCTTGGTTGGTTCCTCCAATGACCGTTTTTTCGTGAGAGAAGGAGCTAACAAATTTTGGGAGGGGGAACTCTCTAGTTCCAATCTTTTGCTGCTTTCAGCCGTAAAATGGGACTTGGTTAATGCAGCCTGAGCATTAAAGGAGGTATCGCATTTCAACTCAGTGGATGCAGGAATTGTGCTACCAGTTGTTTCTTTATTCAACCTTTCCTGTAGAAATACAAAGTAACAAGATTAAGAAACCCAAATAATTGAAGTAACTAATATCTGACAATCAAATGCTTCCGTTGAGGTACCGCCCCTACCTCCAATATGGCATTAAAGCGCTCTGCCAAATTTGGTAGTTTGAGGGCTGTAACAAGCTTTATAGCACCTTTGACTGATTTTTCCAAAGCCAGAAGCTTTACGAGTTCAGTAGCTCTCACTAGCTTATCACCTGATAAGAGAAGGGAAAAAAACAATACCAAATAAAGAAAACATAGTGGAAAAGTAGGATACTAAGGTATTGCAGACTTGCTGCATCCAGCTTTACAGAAAACTGACCATTGCAGCAGGATGCAATGAGCCTCAGGATGCATCTATCAAGAGCAGCATCAGTGTTAAAAGCCTCATCATCAAGCAAACTGGTGTCCTCACCAGCAGCTTCCATTTCTTCAATTGTGCTCTGAATCTGAATGCAAATCCAGCAAACGGCAAAACTATCTATCAACATAAATTCCCTTGATTTTTTGGCAACTGTAAGGAAATCTGAACATATACATACCCGATGGAGATGCATATTATTCATTATAAATTCATTCTCCAGGTTTTCTGCTCCAAGGTCAGATGAAGCAAGAGGAAATGAAAGATCCAACAGAGTGAGAATAGGTTTCGGAGTGGCCTGAAAATACAGCCAGAGGATTAGAAAGGTGTGATAGTATGTATGACAAGAAACACGCTGCAACAAAGCACCATACCTCTGGGAAGTAATCCGGGGATTTGCAAATGACACAGAACAACTTGCTTGTGTTTAACCCAACAACCCAATAGTTTTCTTCTGGCTTCTTCAATTTGCTGGCACTGAAATTTCTAATTTGTAAAGGAACAAGTATTTGTAACATCTATAAAGTTACTAGTGGACAAGTGGGGCGGTAGTTATACCTGAAAAGGGGAAGCCAACTGCCGCCATATTGATTAGTAAATACCCTTAGCACACCCTATATTTGCAGTTAAGAAACCAACTTCAAATTTAGCAATCTTAATAATAATCTCTGGTCTCTGATTTAATGGTCAATGATTTCTCACCTTAGAGTCAAAAGAACTAAGATGGCCTTCTTCACTAAAACCAAACCATGATAAACATGAACCAGGAGTCAATGGAAGTCTTCCTCGGCGAGGTTGTATTCCATTACGAATATTGAAGACTCTAAATTCAAGAATCTGTATGGAATTTCAAATAGTTCTATGATCAATACACCAATCCACCTCTTCTCCAATCATCATCAATCGATCAGTCCAAAAAGTACTTATATATATCTAAATTTAAATATAAAATCCGAGTCCAGGAACTGAAGAAAAACAACTATATATTCCACCAAATCAGAGCGAATCCTGTTATCTCTAATCAACATGAATAGTTATGATATGCCTTGGTTATAAGCTAAGTTTAAGTAGGCCCTAAATTGTTAGTCATGAGTAGGGGGTGGCAAAATGGTTAAAAGAAAACAGTTAACCACCCATATTATCCACTAAAAAATGGGTTGGATAATGAACTTTTTTAAAAACGGGTCAAA